CTTTTGCTTACAGTTCATCAGTTTCTGCCTAGCCATATTCCGCATCTTTGGAGATTCGAACATTTCTTTTAAACGATTTACCGTTTTGTCGAAATCATCTTTTCTTCCTCTATCAATGCTTCATATTCTTCCTTGAGGAGCCCATCTAGGAAGAATTTTAATTTCTTGGCTTTTTGCTTACTTGTTCAAGGCTTTGTTTGTGCATCTGCGTAGTCCTGAAACTCCAATGGCCAGGCTGCAAATGTAACATCCTCTTCATCTGTATACGATGTCAACCTGACTTCATGACCAGGGAAGTCCGATCCGGGCACAATGGTGTCGTCTGCTTTATCCAACCCTTCGTCATCATTACCTTCTACTTTATAACGTTTATTGTTATTATTCTTTATCTTGGTGAAGTTAGTTTTTCTAATCTATCTGCTACTGATCCGAATCCTTGGTCCATCTTCCTTTTCAGCTGCCCCTGTTCATTCATTACTATCTCAGAACTGAGTAGCTCTGAGATCCCTTCAAATGTCTTCAAGCGGCTCGCAATGTCTTCAATCACTGATATAAACTGACCAATTGTGACTGCCTCCTTGGAACTTTGGGCCTCCAAAGTTTTTAAATCTAGCTTTGTTGATTCCATGATTTTTGATCTGCGTGCGAGGTATCTGTTTGTGTAGCTCGATCACCACGATCCACAGGAGATATTCCACGCCAACCACTCGCTGCTACCAGTAAATGTGGGACATGCCCAGTGAGGCCTTGATCTTGGCGTGGTCTAGTGGAGCACACAAGCTGACACATTATTGAAGTTCTTTATGATACATTGTTGCATTTAATTATAAAACGAGAAAAAAAGGGGTGTGGCATTATATGCAGTCAGCAGCTAGCGCATTAATAAAGAGGAATTGACTTGTCTGAGAAACATCGAGTTTTCCGGGGGACCCGCTTTAGTCAATGAGTTGCCCTGAAAGCCCCGAACCAGTGCCGTTGATGGCATATGAATAAGATGATGTCGAAGTGAACCGCAAGCCGATGACAAAAACAGGAACCCGAAGTCGTAGATGAGGTGGCGCCGTAGATGAAGCCCAAAAGAAAAAGATCCGAATTGAGGAAAAAGGACCCCTGTACAGTAGAGACGGGGGAGGGGGCGGGGACGGTTCAGACTGCTGTCCCGCCGAGTTTACCGCCCTACCCAGATGTAATCCCACACACCGGAAATGTTTGTTCCCTCCGAACAATGGGTTACTGTATGGAGAAAAAAGGGCCAAAGGTAATTAATGGGGATCGGGAATGTAAAAGGACTAGGAAAAAACAAAAGCATTTATTCAACAATACTCCGTTGTCGTAAATGCAGCTTTGTCACCAAAACAGCTGCGTTAACACTGTAATACACTCGCATGCTATGCTAAACTGCTCTGAAATAAGTCACTTGTTTCTAGGGTGCACTCGCTTCTCTGCTACGTAAATGCATGATTATTTCCAAAACCGCCCTAATGATTTACCTTCTTACAGGACTATAATATGTCTGCAAGCAAAATGAGTAGTTACGCGAATATCTGGGAAAAATTCCCAACAGGTAATATATATTTGCAACGTATACAATATATTTATTGTATTTACAGTACGCTCATTTATTATCAGTAGCACTCAATACTATCAAGGGCAAATTGAAAAGGTTGAGGGCCTTGCCAAATTCTTTTACTGGAGAAATTGTTGAGCAGACGTCAGAACATGTGACGCAGCTCCCAGTTGCACAGATAGCGAACAAGGTCATAAAATAACAGCCACCCTAGGCATTCTAGGTATGTGCAATAACATTAGATAAGTTTAACAAACATATGTTCCATGGTTTCTTCGAGACCAAAAATCCTCTTTGGCCCGGTCTTGCAAGCTTGGAATAATTTCGCGAATACGGCATCTCCCTTCGGATGATGCTTCATATGCCCAATCGTATCTTCAGCCATTGCTCTGCATAAAAAACACGCAAATTTTCGGAATAGTAAATGTGCATTTCTGCATATATGCAAATTGCAAAAACGCACATCGCAACGACCCTGCCTGTCTATGTGTTTGTGTATGTTTGTGTGTGTTCGTCCGTGCGGGTATTTCATCTCGGCAACCAAGCAAGCTCCGGCGCCAAAATTTTGCTGATTGTTTCGTAGGCCAAATGCTACCTCAGGACCGCGGTACCAACCCCCACGCGCGTCTGGGCCCGCTTACGAGCGCATGAAAATCTTGGCGGGAAAATTACTAACTCGGAGACGAGAAAAGCCAGAAGGCTGAAATTTAGGGTATGTTCAATACCCATGAACGACCAAAGGACTTCAAATTCAGTTCCTCAGAGCCGCCCGGGACTTACGTACGGGCACGTGAAAATTTTGGCAGGGAAACTGCTAACTCGGGAACAAGAAAAGCTAGAAGGCTGAAACCTTAGGGGAATGTTCAATATTCATCTAGTGCAGTGCATGTCCGGTTGTTTGAAAACAACGTTAATGAATGGCAGACTGTGGTTTTAAGACCTTTCCCTATTTTATGTCTCCTGCATCATTTTTTATTTTCGTTTTTTCTCGGCCTGCGTTTTCTGCGCTCATTGCTCCTCCTCCTCATTTCCACTGGAATGTTCTTTAGTGGTATCTTTTAACTGTTCATTAAAAAAATTCAATGGCTTATCCTTTTCGTATTTCTCGCGCACAGTAATTTCGCTAAGACTACCAAAACAAATAAAAGAAAAAAAATGGCTGTTTTGACTAAAATTTCATAGTACCCTCATATTTCCTTAACAGGAGAACTGAGGAATCGGATGAAACAAAAGATGAAAAAAGTACCAAATTAAGTATTCGTATCAATTCGGTAAAACAAGCTTGCAAATACTAGCTTATCCCACACCCCTTGCATTTATTTTACATGCTGTTTAAAAAAATTATCAAAAGAAAGCAAATATTTAAAAGCTAGACAGTGCACCTGGCTTCCACTCGTCCCATATCTTCGCGAGTTTGTATAAGAGCACTAAGAAGTTCAACATGGATATCCGGGAATTTCCGTACCAATGTTGTTGTTTCAAGTGCTAATAAACTCTTATCCCGAAGATTGAGCACTTCTGACATTGCAGTAAGTACCACTGTTAGATCGGCGAACTGGAATAGACTGCAGTACTCGCAAAATAACATTTCGAAAAATCTAAATTCATCGTGCCAATAGTGTACGCGTCAGATTAGAAAAAAACATAATTGGAAATGTTATACAAACAAATAGCGACGCGAACTAGGGAAGCTGCTGCGATCATGCGTTTTGCGCAGTTTCATCCAGGGGACGTTCGTCTGCTAATAGCAACTGTTTTACACTTTCGTGTGTAGAAAAATAGTCGATATGCTGTCTGATTTGAGCTGAAAAAATTGCCACTAAATATTTCACGCGCCGGTACATGAAAGCTGAATTTGAAGCCTTGGATGAGGAACATCCTTTCAGATTCTAAATCCCCACTTTCCGGCTTTCAAACCACTGAATTTCGCTTCAAAAGTTTCACTAGTCGTGCGTAAGATCTCGGCACACATGGGAACTAAATGTGAGTTTGTGAGGTATCTGCACAGGCAGACAACATCCTCGCAAAATTTCAACCTCATAGCTCTTCTGGTTCCCGGGATAACAATTTCCCCCGTCAAAACTTTTGCGCGGCCGCACAAAGGGACCTGCGAGATGGCACGTAGGCAAAGGACATTCTCCCAAAATTTCAGCTTCCCAACTTTTATGGCTTCCGAGATAGTAATTTTTCCCGCCGAAACTTTCACGGGGGCATAACTGAGACCCAAGCTTAACTGAAAGCTGATTTTAAATTTACAGGGCCACATGTGGGCAAGAAACAGTTTCGTCAAATTTCAGCTTCCTAGTTTTCATTGTTCTCGGGATACTAATTTTCCCGCCAAAACTTTTGAGGGGCCATGCTTGATACCCAACCGTACGAGGGAGCTGCATCTACCCATAAAATTTCAGCTCCCTAGCTTCTGCGATCCCCGAGATAAAAATCTCCCCTGCCAAAACTTTTAGGGGGCCGTACGTGTTACCCGGGCTGAATTTGCGGAGTCGCAGTGGGCGGGGTGCACTGTACTAAAGTTTCAGATGGTTAGCTTTTTTGGTTCTCGAATTGAAACTGCGGCAAAAAATGCACTCGGACACACATATACACACAAAACACAGACAGGCTTATGACAATATGCGTTTCATACTGCTGTTACACAGTGCAAAACGCATAATAATGCTGATGAAGTTTTGTATATTGTGTAATTGCTAAACAAATCCTAGTCACTAGCGATGCGCACCAGGTGGGCCTGTGCGATCATTTGCTTCTGCAGTATTTTGTGCTGTAGTATGATCGCTTGGAATCCCAGCAGCTAGAATTTCTGACATACTGGTCTACGAAATTCAAGAAGTTAATTGCGCAACTACGTCGTACTTGTTCAGGGAACATCCCCTCAAAATGCAGCTTTCCAGCTTTTCTGGTTCCCAAGTTGGCAACTTTCCCGCCAAAGTCTCACGACGCGAGTATGCGGGGCCGAGACGTGCGTGAAGTTTGGTACTTTGGCGCTAAGGTGGCACTTGGCCGGAGAACCCACTGACAAAAATTTTAGCTGCGGGGCTTTTCTGGTTGTCGAGTTGAAATACCTGGACGGATGCACACACATACACACACAAGCATACACCATATATACACATCATGCGTCACCAAAATATGCGTTTTTGCATTTGCATATACGCAAAAACGCATAAAAATTTGAATTTCTGGCTCAGATTTTCAATCAAATCGTTGGCAACGTGCATTAAGCGGAACTGTGCGATCATGCATTCTTGTGTCATTTTGTGATGCAGAGTAAGATCGCTCGAATCCCAGTAGCTAAAATTTGTAAAATACTAGTCCTCGAAATCCAAGAAGTTAATTGTGCAACTATGTGGTGTGTCAGTTGCCGATGTCGGCTTCAACGACCCAACAAACAGAAAACAGCTGGTGCACGAAAAGGACTCGACGAGGAATGATAGGAAGCGAAAAAGGAATGATGGGACTTTTGTTGCATAGGAAGCGAATATCGCTAGTATTATGCAAATTTGCATAGTCGTGAGAAGCGTGTTAAATTTGTATAATTTGCATACAACTTCATAGAACCGCATATGCTTTGCATTTGAAACCTTTCAGTCCTACATAAGTAGAAAACATGCTCTTAAAACTCCAACATTCCAGCTTTTCTCATCCCCGAGTTAGCAATTTTTCCGCCAAAAGGCCCATACCTGAGAAATGGGTGGTTCTACAGAGCCGTTAGCCGTACATTACTGGTGAACATCCCCCTAAAGTTTCAACTTCCCAGCTTCTCTCGTTCCCGAGTTGGCAATTTTCCCGTCAAAATCTTCATGTGTCCGTAATTGAGTCATGGGCGGTTCTATAGTGCTGAATTTGAAATCCTTCAGCCGCACATAAGTGGGGGACATTCTTTAAAATTGCAGCTTCCCAGCTTTTTTCGACCCAGATCAACAATTTTTCCGCCAAAATTCTCACATGTCTGTATGTGAGATCCGTGCCGTTTTAAGGAACTGAATTTGAAATCTTATGGTTGTACATGAGTATTGAACATCGTCCCAACGTTTCAGCTTTCTAGCTCTCGAGTTAGAAATTTTCCCCCCAAAACGTTCATGCGTCTGCACGTGAGGCGCAGACGTGCGTGACAGTTGATATCATGTTTCTGCAGCCGCACTTGACCGGCGGACACACTGGCAGAATTTCAGCATCAAAGATTGCGTGTTTGACGGGCAGAAATTCCTGGACAGATGAACACAAACACACATACATAAACATACATACATACATGCATACATACATACATACATACATACATACATACATACATACATACATAC